TTCTGTTCATCTAGATGCTAAACAATCATCTCCTCAACCTGAGGCATTCTAGATTTTCCAGCCATAGCAATTTCCTCGAACCATTTACCCTGTCAAGCCCCTTCATTTTATGTTCCAGTGCAACCATTTCCCATTATGCCGTGTTAATTTTAAAAAAAAACTCCACACAGTCACCTGAGGCTGGAATTGAACCTGGGTCCCTGGTGCCGTGAGGCAACAGTACTAACCTCTGAGCCACCATGCACTTGGATCAACACAAGTAATGATTTCTAAACCAATATTTAGACTAATGGATGGCAGATTTAAAACAATGATGAGGAGGAATTGCTTCTCTCAAAGTGTTGTGAATCTGTGGAATTCAGTACCACAGAATGCACTGGACATCAGATACCGAATAAATTTAATGAGGACATACACAGATTTTTAATTGGTAATGGGTTAAAGGGCTGTGGAGAGTGGGCAGGCAAGTGGAGTTGAGGCTGATTCAGCCATGATAGTATTAAACAGCAGAGCAGGCACAAGGGGCTGAATTACCAGCTCCTCCTTGTTCTTAAGAATAGTCCCTCGGCTCTGCGCCTATATTTATAGTCTGTCACCTGACCAAGTACTTAAAAAGTCTACTCTTTGTTTGCTCTCCCACATAAGCGTGTTCCCACGTATGGTTTTGCCAGGACCTGATCATATAATCGCAGCAATGCCTCTGTGCATTTGCTCTCCAAACTCTGTTCTAAAGTCTCATATACAACAAGCAATTGGAAAGCAAATTGTATCTGCATGTTAACTAACCTTAACTGCTCACGTATAAGGCGTTCAGGTCTCTCTGTATACCAACATTTGCCATTGTCTCCTTTTCAAAGCAAATGTTTTCCTGTTTTTCTTACCAATGCATATATTTCATACTTCTGTACATTCCATCTGCATTATTGCTCACTCATTTAACTTCTCTTGACAGCCTTGCCCATCTTCCTTGTAGCTTACATTTCCATCTAGCTTTATTTGTAAGAAGGCATTGTGCACAGTTCTCTTACCTAATTCATTGATGCAGACTGAAGCCCAAGTACTGATTCTTGTGATACCCCACTAGTTGCAACTAACCAATCTGGAAATGTCTCATGAGAAATATTACTTCTTCCAAATTATAGTTAGCTCAAATTACACTGCTTGAACAGTCAACCAGATGATGAAACAAATTCAGCAACACGTATGTCATTATGTCTTTTTGACCATTAACCCAAACATTACCAAAAGTACTGCATCGTCAAGACACTCCATCTGAATCTCTCCTCTAGTCAGTACTTTCATTTCAGATTAAACCAGACTATTTGCAATACAGTAACTTCTTTAATGCTGAAAGCTTTCGAAACCATTTTCTCTATCGCAGGACTGCCTATGTTCATACAGTCATACAAAACAGAAACAGACCCTTCGTCGATGCCATCCAGGTTTCCCAAACTTAACTAGTCCCATTTACCTGTGTTTGGTCCATATCCCTCAACCTTTCCTATTCATGTATCTGTATAAATAACTTTTAAATGTTGTAACTGTAACTGCATCTATTGCTTCCTCTGGCAGTCCATTTTACAAATGCACCGCCCTCTATGAAAAAGTTTCTCCTCGGGTCCCTTTTAAATCTTTCCCCTCTCACTTTAAACCTATGCCCTCTAGTTTTGAACTCCCCCACCCTGGGGAAAAGACCTTTTGAAAGTCACCTTATCTATGTCCATCATGATTTTATAAAACCTCTATAAGGACACCCCTCAACCTCCTACGGTCCAGGGAAAAGAGTCCCAATCTATCCAGCCTCTCCCCATAACTCAAACCCTCCAGTCCAGGTAAATTGTAAATCTCTTCTGAACCCCTTCCAATTTAATAATATCATTCCATTAGAAGGGTGACCAGAACTGTACACAGCACTCAAAGTGGCCCCACCAATGCCCTGTACAGCCACAATATGATGTCCCAACTCCAGCACTCATTGACCTGAGCAATGAAGGCAAGCATGCCAAACATCATCTTTATCACTTTGTCTGCCTGTATACCTATATACTTGAACCCCTAGATCTCTCTGTTCAATAACACTCCCCAGGACCCTACCATTAACTCTGAGTCCTGTTATAGTTTGTCTTACCAAAACACAACACCTCACATTTAGCTAAATTTTAACTCCATCCACCACTCCTTCGCCCAGTGCCCCACCTGATCAAGATTAGATAGCCGCCTTCACTGTATACTGCACCATTAATTTTGGTGTCACCCGCAAACTTATTAAACATGCTACCTGTATTTTCACCCAAATCATTTACAGAAATGACAAACAACAGTTGACCCAGCACTTACCCCTGCAGAACACCGCTGGCCACGGGACTTGGTCAAAAAAACAACCCTCTACCACTCCCTTTAATTCGTCTTATTTCTGCCAAGTCAAAGGAGTTGCCATGGACACCCACATGGGTCCCAGTTATGCCTGCCACTTTAGGGTATGTGGAACGATTCTTGTTTCGTTGCCACTTCATGCTCTCCCTGGACTTAGAAAAATTTGTTCATTTGGCCTCCAATTTCCATTTCTCTATAACTTTCACATTGTCCATTTCTGACACTTGCCTACCTTTTCCTTGAGCTCTCTGTCTCCATTTCGGGGAATAAACTGTCAACTACCATCCAATACAAAGCCACTGACTTTCATTGCAACCTTCACTATAGCTCTTCCCACCCCATGTCCTGCAAGGATTCCACCCCAGTCTCCCAGTTCTTTTGCCTATGTCATGTCTGTTTGGACGATGCACTGCTGACATGGCTTCTTTCTTCCATAACCGTGGTTTCCCACCTACTGTGGTTGACCGGGCCCTCGACTGCATCCGCCCTTTGCCCTTCCCATCACTCACAACAGTGTGATCGGTTCCCCTTTGTTCTCCCTTTTCATCTCACCAGCCTCCGCATTCTAAGGATCATTCTCAGCCATTTCAGACAACTCCAGCACAATGTCACCACCAAATGCATCTTCCTCTGACTCCCCCTGTCTGCATTTCGCAGGGATCGTTCTGTCTGGGACACCTAGTCCATTCATCGACCACCAACACCCTGACCCTGACCTTCCTGTAGCTAGTCATTTTTAATATAGCATCCTGCTCGTATGCTCACTTGTCTGTCCTCCGCATGCTGTAATGCTCCAGTGAATCGCAGTGAAAACTGGAGGAGCAACATCTTGTCTTCAAACTAGGCCGTTTACAATCTTCTGGGCTCAATATTGAGTTCAACACTTTCAAATTGTGAACCCAGTCCTTCCCTTTCTTTTAGCTTTGCTTGTTACATTCTCTGTCACCATGTCTTCTCTCCCCTTCCCCCATTCCAGTGGAACTGACTGTTCTTTCCAGCCTGGCAATTAGACACACCAGTGTTTCGACATTCTCACATTCCGCTCACTTAATCTGAACTAATAAACATCCTTTCTCCCTCAGCACTTCAACCCTCCTGCTCCCACCCCCATTGCATGAATACTGCCCCCTTCACACTTCACTTCAGCTCTGATGAAGTGTCATCTAGACTCAAAATATTAGCTTGCTTTGATCTCCAGCATTTTTTGTTTTCAGTGCAGATTCCAGCATCTGCAGTAATTTGCATCTGTACCACCACCCTCTGTCTCCTACTGTCGAGCCAGTTTTGTATCCAATTGACTAGTTCTCCCTGGATCTCATGTGATCTAATTTCACTAACCAGTCTATCATGCGCAACCTTATCGAAAGCCTTGCTAAAGTCCATACAGGCAACCTCCACGACTCTACCCTCATCTACCTTATTGGTCACATCCTCAAAAAAAAAACTCAATCACGTTTATGAGACGCATACAAAGCCATGCTGACTATCCCTAATCAGTTCTTGCCTCTCCAAATGCATGTAAATCCTGTTCCTCAAAATACTCTCCATCAACTTACCCACCACTGACATCAGATTCACCGGTCTGAAGTTCCCTGGTTTTTCCTTGCAGCCGTTCTTAAATAAAGGCACAGGCACGCATGGCAGTAGATGATAAAAAATATCTCTGCTAGGGGCCCCACAATTTCTTCCATATCTTCCCACAACGTCCTAGGATACACTTGGCCAGGTCCTGGCGAATGATCTACCTTTATGCGTTTTAAGACCTCCAGCATCCCCTCTTCTGTAAGCAACGGTAGCAACAGCCATAGGTCAATGGCAAGTATATCTTTCAAATAGGACTCCACTCATTCTTCTAAACTCCAATGAGTATAAGCCTAATGTACTCAAAATCTCCCCAGAAGAAAACTCCTTCCTACCCAGGATCAACTTAATGATCCTACAATGCGAATATATCTTCCCTTGGGTATGGGAGCCTGAACAGTTCACACCTATTCCAGTTGTGGTCTGACCCAGTGCTTTGTATCATTTAGGCAAGACCAGTTTAACCATTGCCCATTGTAAACTGAAAGGTGATATTTCTCTCCTTGGGAGAGAGGATAATTTTTTGGAGCAGTACCCTGTTGAAAAAACGAACATGTCATTGTGAATAGCTGACAAAAAGTTGGGTCTGGTTCAATCAAGTATTTGAAAACACAGCATTATTAATGCTAATGCAGAAACAAACTACGTGGTGGTTAATAGAAGATTGTTGAATTATCAAAATTTTTTTCTCCTCCTCCAGGCATCTCCAAGAGTCTACGTGGATGATAATTTGGTTGCTAAATTGGCAGAAAAACTAAATTATGAGGATACCACACCAGAAATATTTGATGACATTCAACGAAAGGTAGGTTTGAAGAAAAACTTTCACTTTGTTATTTGCCCTCCATCTTTGTCAGGTCTCTATATACCTGTGCTCGAAGATGAATTTTCCATTGCTAACTTAGAGGTTACTATATGATTGAGTGAAGGAGGACTATATTTACAGTAGAGCAAAAGTTTTTTTTTTTTTTTTTTTTTTCTTTTTTAGCAATTTTACATTTTAATAAAATGCTCTATTACCTATCTCCATAAGGATAGACTGAACGTTAGTTGGAGCACTTTCAAGTTGCCAGTTCTGAGTATTGAATGGCCTGTTGCCATTCCTAAATCTGCTTAGATTTATCTTGTATCCTAACATCAATGTTAAATGTAGATAGAAGCATAACATTGCCAAGAAATATTAATAAATTAAGCAAATGTGTGAAACTGGCAAATCCTTTTCAATGTAGGCTATTCACTTTGGACCTAAAAAGGATGGAATAAGATCTTTCTCATTTGTATGAAGTTAGAAGTAATCGAGATCCAAAGATGATTGGGTTTCCATTGTACTTGGATCACTAAAATATAGACCAGAACCAACAGCATCAACAAGGCTAATATAATGCTGACTTTGGAAGTAGGAGTTTTGCTAAAGCTGTACAGAGGCTTGGTTTAACTGCACCTGGAGTTTTGAGCATCACACCTCCGGAAGGATGTGTTGACTTCGCAGATGGTGCAGTGTAGGTTTATCACAGTACTTGAATTCTAAAGACTAAATTACAAGAAGAAACTACATAAACCAAGGGAACAAAAACCAAAAGAAGTGTAGATGCTGGAAATCATAAACAAGACTGAAATTACTTGAAAAACTCAGCAGGTCTGGCAACATCTGTGGAGAGGAATCGTTCGTGTTTTGGGCCCAGTGACCCTTCAGAACTCCATTGGTTGTCCATAAACTAAGAAAGGGTTTTTCTCAGATTTGGATTGTGGATGATCTGAGCAAAGTGTTGAAGGTATTAATGCTAATGGGGTAGATAAAGAGTGATTTGAGGAGTTTCGGAGGTGGGGAGGAGGAAAAGGAATGCTGTGGAGGCATTTTTTTTTAAAGAAAAAAAAAAGATCGACACCTTTTGGGAATGAAGTTAGGAAATGTTGTTACGTCCAAAACATGGCTAAAGTTTGGAACTCTTTTGCAAGTTAATTGTTGATTTTTAAACCTGAGATTGATGATACATTTGGTAAATAAAAAATCCAAAAATACCTAAACCAGAGGCAAGTATTTGGATTTATTTTGCAGATCGGCCTTGATCTAATTAGATGGCAGAACAGGGTTAAAGAGCCAAAAAGCCTATTTCTGCTGTTACAAATCATGAAATTTAAATCTGATTTTTGGCAATCAACAATTAGAATTTCAAACATGTCACTGAATAATAGGGGTTATTTTAATCCTGTGCCTCTCTGGCCTTCAGAAACCAGTTGAGGTGAGTGTGTAGTTAAGTAAGAGCAATGATTTGCCACTCCATAACATTATGATCCTAGATTGTGTTTATATTACTGGACAAATCAGACCTAGACTGAACAAACGGAAGTTGCTGGAAAAGCTCAGCAGGTTTGGCAGCATCTGTGAAGAAAAAAAATCAGAGTTAACATTTTGGGTCTGGTGACACTTCCTCAGAACCGGACGCAAAATGTTAACACAGATTTTTTTTTCTTCAGAGTTGCTGCCAGACCTGCTGACCTTTTCCAGCAACTTCCGTCTTTGTTTCGGAGTTACGGCATCCGCAGTTCTTTTCGGTTTGTAGACCTAGACTGAAACCTGGCTTGATAGCTCGTGTTTTGTTTTGGTTTTAACAAAGTGGTCATGTAATGTTGCAGACTTTGTCTTAAAATAAAACATAAGTTTATTAACCCAAGAATGAAGATAAAATAGAATAAATCAAGTCATCGTCTTAGAATCATAGAATTTCTACAGTGCAGAAAGTGGTCATTTGGCCCATCGAGTCTGCCCCCACCCTCCCAAAGAGCATCCCACACAGACCCGCATCCGCGCAGACCCACACCCACCCCATCCCTGTAACCCTGCATTTTTTTTCTAACCATTGAACCCACCTAACCTGGACATCTTTGGACTGTGCAAGGGAACTAGAGCACCCCAACAAAATCCACACAGATACGAGGAAAATATGCACACTCCACACAAACAGTCACGCAAAGCTGGAATCTTTTAATACACAATCTAACATTTTTTTAAATGCAGTAAAAATATAATCCCATTAATCTCAAAACAATCCTTTTATAAATTGAAGACACCAGGAGACGGCTTTTGTATAGTGCCCAAAGCATCATTTGCATAATAGTTGCACCAGAGTTTGTATATAGACTGGATCTAAAGGTATACTTGAGCTTAAATGTACTCTGCTTTAAGTAACCTCTTCAGAGTATTATCCCAATGCTTCTATTCCGGGACTAATACTGACTCTTCACTCGCTTTTAATATAGTTCTCTGTATCCTTCTCTACTGAGGAGCACCGGTCTCTACACCATCCTTATCCAATAACTTGAGTGCTGCCCCAATCAAAATAAGTGAAACCAAAAGTCTGCTTCTCTAAGCTATGGGTGTTACAATAAATATTTTTTAAAAAACAAGTTCCAGAAGTCTTTGCGGATTACGAAACAATCCAAGATAGATAAATAACAGTAAGTGGTACACTAAACCCAATTCACTCTAAAGGCAGGCCTCAAATTCTATTTTAAAAGGAACCATATTAGCTACAGAAATAAAAACTGAAAGAACTGCAGATGCTGTAAATCAACAACTTCTCTTTTAACTCCTCTCATTTTCTTCAGGTCAGAGGGATGGCGATGGGTATATGGAACATTTCTTGTTCCAGTCCTATTCTGACCCCCACCAACAACCCTTTCTTCGATATATCAATGATCTCATCAGTGCTGCTTCCCCTCTATCATCCGGAATTGGAAACGTTCATCGACTTCGCTTCCCATTTCCACCCTGCCCTCCCTTTCACCTGGTCTATCTCTGACTCCCCTCTTCCCTTTCTCGACACTTCTGTTTCCATTTCTGGGGATATTGGCCACTAATATGCACTGTAAACCCACTGACTCCCACAGCTATCTGGACGATACATCCTCACACCCTGCTTCCTGTAAAGACTCCATCCCATTCTCTCAGTTTGTCCGTCTCTGTCATATATGTTCAGATGAGGCTAACTTCAACAAGAGAGACTCCGAAATGTCCACCTTCTTCCTCAACCGAGAATTCCCCAGCGTTGTTGTCGACAGGGCCCTCAACCAGATCCGACTCATCTCCTGCACTTCCGCCCTCACCCCTCTGTTCCCTCCTGAAACAACAATAGGTTACCCTTGTCCTTAGCTATCATCCCACCAGCATCCACATCCAGAAGATCATCAGATGCCATTTCTGCTACCTCCAGCAAGATGCCACCACCAGACACGCATTCCCCTCCCCTCCCTTGTCTGCCTTCCGCAGGGACTGTTCCCTCTGGGACACCCTGGTCCACTCTTCCTTCACCCCCAACAAACCCCCACAGCCCTACGGCACCTTCCCCTGCAACTGGCGAAGATGCAACACCTGCCCATTTACCTCCTCCCTCCCCACTATCCAAGGGCCTAAACATACCTTCCAGGTGAAGCAACACTTCACCTGCACTTCCCAGAATCTAGTCTACTGCATTCACTGCTCACAATGTGGTCTCCTCTACAATAAGGAAAGGAAGCTTAGACTGAGTGAATGCTTCGCAAAACATCTACGTTCTGCTCGCAAAAAATACCGAGTTACCCTGTTGCCTGCCACTTTAACACATCACCCTGTTCCCTGGCCAACATCTCCATCCCTGGCTGCAGTGTTCCAGCGAAACTCAACGCAAGCTAGAAGAACAACACCTCATTTTCCGCTTGGGAACTCTGCAGCCCTCCGGACTCTCTCGAGTTCAATAATAAGAACATAAGAACCAGGAGCAGGAGTAGGCCGTCTGGCCCTTCGAGCCTGCTCTGCCATTCAATAAGATAATTTTAAGGCCTCATAGCCTTAGCGTCATAGCCCTCTACGCCACACACTAGGCCTTGTTATCACATAGCCTGCCATTACACGCTATCTGTTGTTAGTCACTAACAGTCCCCATTAACAACTATTCCCTCTCCCAGCCAGATCGTTATCAACTCCTTTGTCTATCCAACTGCTCTTCTCTCTCTCTTTCTTTGGGCTGTATCGTATTGTTTACACCCTACCCCATCCCCCTCCCTGTTTTCTGCATATAAACCGACATTTTCCCAACTACCATCTGAGGAAGGGTCACCAGACCTGAAATGTTAACTCTGACTTTTTTCTTCACAGATGTTGCCAGACCTGCTGAGCTTTTCCAGCAACTTCTGTTTTTGTTCATCTCAGCTACAGAAATGTTTGAAGTTGATTCTTAAATTTAGATGCAATGAAAACCTATAGGTTACTAACTCAAAAACCAAACACCCAAAGTTAAACATATGTTTAACAAAATCACAGTTTACATCACACCATCTTCAAAGGACCCTTCTCCCTTCTGCCATTTTACGTTAACGCATTGGACACCTAAGAGAAAATAATGGAGTCTTGCATATAACATAACAGTTGGACTGTGATGACTATTTTTTCAGCTACATTGAGGCATAGAAGAGGTACAGTGAGTTGATTTGTTTAGATTTCCCTGCTGACCAGGGAAAATGGGATTAGTTGCTCAAACCATTAGAAATCTATGCTCTTCTGGACTCCAGAAATCCTGGGCCTTCTTTTGCTTTAGGTTCACTCTCCATTATGCCAATCCAACTATCTTAATACTGGGAACTGTATCTGTTGGTCTTCAATTCTGGCTTTCTCCCAATCTGAATCCTGTTCCCAACACCGTCCAGACTGTGATTTAGGCCAGGAAACCAAGACGATGTGTGCATATGACGGGTCAGCTGATGAAATTGGTGAGGCTTCACATTGCTGCTGTTTGCCCACCCTCTATATTATGCTAAGATCATCAATAGAATAGAATAGAATAGGTTCTGTTTCCAACCTTTTCAAGATGCTAAATTTGTATATTAGTAATTTCTGTCTATCTCATGGCTATCTGGAGCTTGACATAGTACGGGATCTGGGGGGGTGAAATTATCAGCCCTCATCTTCCCAACTCGAGACAATCAGACAGGGGATATACCCCGATGGAATCACATCAGAAACCATGTGTAGTTCCGGTGCAGTGATTACACTGGAATTTCCTAGGCAGCTTGAATCTCTGAAGAGCTATTATCCAGTGTGTGGGACGTTCCAAAACTCTATTCAACAGCGTTGAAGACCTCGAAGGATGCCGACTCGCTCGCATTGATCATTTAACTAGGAAAATTTCTACTCTTAAACTATAATACAGCAGTCACTCCACACCCCACCCAACAACAGCTGAGTGACATCCTCCCATTTCCCCCCCTACCAATAACTGAACAACCTCACTATCTGACTGCCTGCACCCCCAATCCCCCAACTATCCGCCTCACAGCCCTCTCTCTTTTGCCTCCTAGACCCATTGCTTTTACCTATGTGACTTCTCTCAGCTTGTCAAAGAAATGTTGCCAACTTTAGAACTTTGTTTACTTACTGGAGTACAGTATAATTGCTGTGAAAAGAGGGTATGGCTTCTGAGAAAATGTATTCTTGACTGTATACATGGTTCACTACACTGCCTGAGTTGGGAAGGTTCCTGCAACATAAATCAAGCCTCAAAAGATTTGATCTGGCTTACAAATAAGGATTCTGGATTTGATTGGCAAATTTTGGTCATAATGTTTGCCGCACAATGGTAGCATCCTGTTAAATGTTAAGATTTATGTACAAATGTAGGAAGTATTTTGTCTTAGAAAACTAATATTTGTTTACCTTTTTATAAAGGTCTATGAAATGATGCTGAAGGATGAGCAATTCTACCCTTCTTTCAGGCAAAATCCACTTTATGTGAGGATGTTAGCTGAGTTAGACATGTTGAAAGATCCAAGTATCAGAGGGTCAGATGATGGCGACTTGGGTATGTGAAAAATCTATAAATATAGATAGTATTCTGTTGGAACTGTTGAATGTTAACGTAATACCAAATACAAAGTTATCTACTGATACCTTTTGTTACTGTATCTGGTGTACTTCATATTGTGAATGTTTAAACTTTAATACCGGTTCCATGCATCTGGACTATCTTTACCTCCAGCGAGGCACATGCAGATGCAGCTAAAAGATCAATTACAAAGTCTTAATTCTGGGAATTTACAAGCCTAAGACAAAGAAAAGGCTGTGTTTATGTGCACCATAACATTTTTTGATCTAGGTGTCTGATTGGTTTCCTTGAACAACTAGATACACCAAACCATTGGGCTGGAGTGTGTAAGTTTAGAGTAATTATAGGTCTTTGTGTAGTTCGATACAACCAATGTTGGACAGCTCACAGTGCTAATGCTTTCACAAAACAGCTGGACTCACACTCCCACCTTAAGAGTAATGTTCCATCTAATTTCTTTTTTGCTATTTGTGGCTTATTTATACTGCACTACCGTTTAAAATTTGGTACATAATTATACAGACTTGCGTACCTCAAATTTTGTAGCGTTGATGTTGCCTGTTCGCTCCTGTGCGGTAGAATCCATTTGCCACAGGGACACATTCCTTCACCACCTCGAGGAAGCATTGGTTAGAGGCATTTTCAGCATGCTTAGTGCTGAGTTCAGAAAATGTGCTTACCGTCAGCAATCACTGCATATTCAGTGAGTGAGGGATGGAAGGATTTCATGAATAGTTGTTTAAAATTGAGGCTTTGCAGTAACTGGAAGCTACGCCAATGAAAGGAAAGTGGCTGAATGGGATTTCCTCTTTGCAGCACTGTTTGAGATGGGCTTATTCACTGTGCATAGGAGATAAATGCTTACCAAGACAGTGTTGTATTAGTTGAGTCCAGCAAATGCCATCTAATGTAGAGATAACAAGGTGTAGAGCTGGATGAACACAGCAGAGACCAGAAATGCCAGCTTTCCTGCTTTCCTGCTCCTCTGATGCTGCTTGGCCTGCTGTGTTTGTCCAGCTCTACACCTTGTTATCTCAGATTCTCCAGCGTCGGCAGTTCCTACTATCTCTGTAACACCATCTAATGTAGTGCATGTTAGAAGCATAGGATATGCAGTTGTTTAATTTTATAAACTAAACAATACTAGTTTTTTTAGTATGTTCTGAAGTATTTCATCCCTGGTACCTGCAGTCAATTTCCATTGCATCCGCTAAGGCCTGGTCAACTACTAAGTCGTAGTGCCCAGACATAGCCACAATATTCCAACTGAAGCCAAACTAATGTTTTAGAAAGGCTCATTGCAACTTGCTTGAGTTTCGTACTCTTGACTACTCTTGCTAATAAAGCCAAGGAATCTATAGATTTAGTTTCTTTTCCTGCCTCTTTGGTGACCTCAGTCCATTCTCTGCACTTCCTTTTAACATTTATGCCATTTTGGACTAAGTTATCTCTCCTTATTCTTTGTTTTTCTCCTGCCCCAATCCCCTGAACTCCTCCACTCCACCCACCCTCCAAATGGCGCAATTTCCAAGTTGTTTTTGTCCTGGCCAGACAAAATTGACTGAGGAACCATGGTTCTAGTGATAGACACTCATTCACTGAAGACTTTACAGCTACAAATAAGACTAGCTTCAGTGGAGAGGCAGTGTAATTCCTGTACGTAAGGACAGCTGATGTGACTTGCAAACAATTACTCCACTTCTGCTTTGCCTTCATTTAAGACAGGAAATGCTGGCATCATTCAGCATGTCAGGCAGTATTTGTGAAAAGAGAAACATCAAAGCTAAATGTCATTGTTAGAAATGGAAAACTTTAGAGATGTAATAGGTTTTAAGCAGGTACAGATACATGGAAAGAGGGAGAAGTGGAAAGTACTGATGAGGTCTCATCAATTGGAAAGCAGAAGTGATTAAATTGCAAGAACCCATGATGCAAGTAGAAGTTTATGCAAATAGGGACAAAATTAGGAAAAGTCAAGAGGATATTGAAAAATGTAATGGTAGAATCATTATAGCACCTGCCTTTTGAAATTTAAGATCCTAATTATCATTTGAGATTGGTGTTAC